TATATAATGTAAACAATCGCGATTCAAAGAGTCATTAATAAATTATCAATGGTCTTTTAAAATTGTAGGAAAAAATTGTTGCACAACAAACGTATTTTGTACAATTTATACTATTTGTGCAATTTTGTACTATTAAAGACTAAAGAATATTTAAAACGCGAAAAGAGATAGACAAAGCTTCGATGTAAATCAATGATTAAATTATAAGATAAATCACTACTTAAAATTCGCGAAAAAACGCGATAAATAAATAAATCGATGATATTCGGGACAATTGCGGTATGTATAATTTTTATAATATCGAACATAGACACGCGCGCGATATATGTAATATGTAATGTTTGCAAATATAAAATTCAAGGTCCGATTTATTCGTGATTAACACGCGATTTTATACGAATGTCGCGATTGAGAATAAACATATATATATATATTGTATCTCGTACATGATAGCTAAATAATATAAAATGGGGATCATGAGTTTTAAAAAAATTAAAAAACCGCGTTATCGCCAAAGTTTCGATGTAAGTTAACGATTAAATTATAAGATTATAAATTGCGACTTAAAATTCGCAAGAAAACGCGACGAATAAATAAATTAATGATATTCGGAATATTCGATTGCAATACATATAATTTTTATAATAACTGAAGAATACCCTCAATAGACACGCGCGCGAGATAATTACTATAACTGTAATTACTATACACAAGACTAAAATACATTTCGCGCATAATTAAAGACTATTAAAGAAAATATTCAAAAACGCGAAAAAATAGAAGAACTTCGATATAAACCGACGATTAAATTATAAGATAAATTGCTATTTAAAATTCGAAAAAACGCGATGAATAAATAAATCGATAATATTTGGAATATTTAATTTCGATATGATAATATATAATTTTTCTAATATAATAATTAATATCCGGTTAATATTCGACAAAAAGGAGAACGATCTTAAAGATGGAGAATAATTAACATCTTGTTTTTTATATCAGATTTCGCAAGAACGATCTGCGAAGAAAAGTTAAATGACCCATTAAACGTCAGGGATTCCACTGTAGGAGAGAACGAATCCTGGATCTTCCAGACTACTCCCGATAACAATGATTTCAGTAATAAATCAACGACAATTACCCTCATTGTCATTTAATTCACGATTAAAATTTACGTCAGAAAATATGTTCTATCATTATTAAAAAATATATCTCTTTATTGAAAACCAAATGGATATAATGATTTTTATGTAAATATGATTACGAACAATTATATTTATAAATAATGAAATACATGCATCATTGGAACTTGTGTTAAATGTGCGAATACGTATAATAATTTTGGGGTACCAACTGTTCGCGCGCGCGAGACGAATCAAACCCCATAACAGCAAGATGTAAAAAATTTCAATTCGAATAATTTGTAAGATAAAATAAATCAAATAATTTCAAATAGTTAAATCTATGTACTACTTTTTTATTATTTTTAGTAGCATTTAAATTAATTTGCCGATATCTTACTGTTATCAAGGTACCCATTCGATTTGTCTCATAATTTTTGAGTACTCGCACATTTTATGTTACATTCATATATATAATTTCGTACGTAACATATGTAATATTAAGAAAAATTATAAAAATTTTTTGGATATGTTAATTTGTGCATGTATTTTATTATACATACATATATAGATATATATAAATTAATGTTCTCTAAAATGGTGGGCTGTCCAACATCTGCAAATAGTTTCTTAAAAGAAACTAAAAATTAATTAATATCCCCAGTACCTAGAAATAATTTTTCAAAAAAGACAAATTATATTAATTAATAAAATATATTCGTTCGTAATCATTTTTATCAAAAAAGTCAATAAAATCTAATTGCAATTTGAAATTACTTGAAAAATAAAAATTTATATACAATAATTATATCCATATGTAATCTACTATTAAGATTTTTTAATATTAAGACAATAATATGAATAGTAATAATGATAGCACATTTTTCAATGAAGAAAATATGTATTTTTTTCTTTTCTAAATGTATTATTTAAATTAATCCAGATTTAAAGAGGCGTATGGCGTTCGTCGTTGACGTTACTCCGAAATCATTGCTTTCCAGGAATTGCCAGGAAAATCTGGGATTAATTACAATCCTACAATGAAAATTCCTAATTTTCAACAGGACATCGAACTAGACGTCGCAAATGGATCTTACAAGAATCGATAAAAAATAATTCTCCATGATGAAAATCGTTTCAACTCTTCACCGGTACGAGTCACGCAATTTTTACTAATGGTCACCTCACGAGAAGAACAGCGATAAGACTCCTTTATTAAAACGGCAATCTCGTTTAATAAACGCGCGAAGAACGCGGGAAAAACAGTTTTTTCGCATTCTTAATTTATTAATATATTTGACGAATATTATCTGGTACACGAATAGTTCTGACATGAAATTTGTAAATGTATAAATCTGATTAAAAGGAAATTATTAAATTCAAAATTAATTCGCGATTCTATAATATCGAAGACGATTGTTAAATTTTGTTAAACTAATATTTAATCGTTAACTTAACATCGAATCTTCACACTTTTATATTCGACTTTTTTATTCGATATTTGTTTTATATTTAATTAGTAATATTTGGCAATATTACAGGGAGGTACAATTATAAGATTTTTTAATCAAAACGGCAATCTCATCTAAGAAATTTATATATAAAACGCGAAAAAACCGCAAAAAAATATGATATTTTCGTAATCGTAATTTATTAATTTATTTTACATTTAGTTCTGATATAGAATTCGTAAATAGATAAAATGAATATATATCATTAAATTTATAATAAATGAATCGCGATTCTATAAAATAGAAGGTGTTCATTAAATTTTAGTTAATACTTAATCATTAATTTAACATCAAATTTTTGCATTTTATATTTTGCTCTTATATTTGATATTTTTTTATATTTAATATAAAAAAATTAATTATAAAATTAATATATAAAATAGCAACATTTGTAAAATTTATAATCTAATATTTATAAAATTGAAATATATAAAATTATATGAATTTAAAATTTATATATAAAATTTCCCGAATTTATTAATGACTCTTTGATATAAAAACACAAGCACAGTTAATTTTATGAATATTTTAAAAATATATACTATAGAAAAAAATATGTTTAATGAATTTCTGTTATATTATCATTATACGTATACTTTCGATAATTTTTCGTATAATTTACATAAGAATGCATTTCATATAATTTATAATCATAAATACAATTTAATATAATATAAATTACAGTCATAATTGTATTTCATATTCAATTATAATATCAATATAAAATCATAATTAAAATTAAAACAATTATAACTGCAGTACAATTTTAGTTATAAATTTGTTACAATTATTATAGTTACAAATTTATGATACTATCAATACCAAATAAATATATTCGATTTATTTAAATGTTTAAAAACATGAATAATTTGATATTAACAGCATTAACACTTGGATTTAATATTATGTAACTTTTATACATATATATATATATATATATATATAATATATATTTTTAATTTTAAAAATGAAATATAATATGTTAAACTATTTTTTATATATTTAAAATTAGACAATTTATTTAATTTTTTTGAAAATAATTTTGATAATTTAAATTTCATTTTTAAAATATTTTTAAAAATAAATTTAATTTAATTGTTTTATATAATTTTAATTTATCCCCCAGAATTATTGGAATAATTGGAAGAATGTTTGTAATATTGAAAGAAATAATGACCTCAACAATCTTATGAACCCTAACAACCCTATCAATCCTATGATATCAACAACCCTATGAACAATCCTTAACAACCCTACTTCTTGATTAACTTATTAAAACGAAACTTATTCGAGATTTAAGGAGTCTCTCTCTAATATATTTTAATCATTGTCCTAATTACATTCCCTAATCGCGTGCCCTAACCGCGTACCCTAACCGCGTACCCTAGCTGCGTGCTCTTCAGGCCAGTTAAACCTACCTTTTGTCCTGGCCATTATCTCGCTCGATCTCTAATCAGAGATCGAAAAAGGAGATAAACACTCCTTCTTTTGCCGGCTGATTACCAGCAAATGAGCGTAAATATTTCACGCTCATCGTAACAATTGTAAAATCGAACGATTGTTCGTTATATATTTGAATATAACTTTATTTTAACTAAAATAAAGCCAAATTACTATAAATTTTTATATATTATATTAGACTGCTAACACGACCATATCTCATGATAAAACAAGGATAACCGTTTATAACTGGGCAGAATTTATGTCGGGTATCACAGAATTTAACATAACTTCAACTGTTAGCAATTTAATATAATATATAGAGAATTCTTATAATATAAAAGTCTCTGTGCAGATTATCAATCAAAATTGATTGATATTATAATAATATATATAATTAGTAAATATTTATAGTAATATATAATTTATAATAAAATATAAAATTAAAGTGTGTATAACATTTATCATATTATAATTTATTTAATTAATGAATCATTTGGCTTTATCTTAAGTTAAAGTAAAGTTTAAAAATAATATCTACAAACAAATTTTACGATGGATGAGCTACGATGAATAAGAAATTAGAAGATAAGTACTCATTATAAGAATAAAGTAGCATTAAAAATTAATAAAATTGATAAAAATATTAATGTGTGTTCTTTATTTAATAAATTAGACAAAATCTTTATAAAAATAATCTTTTCTTGATTTTCTTTTTTTAATTAATATTTAAATATATTTTTGCAATAAATGCAAAGCATTTCGAAAGAATTTATAAAATATTTATTTAATTCAATCTATCTTAACTCATCCATTTTAAAGCAACGGATTTACCTACAATCTACAATCTACAATCTACATCTATATCTACATCTACATCTACATCTACAATCTCTACGAATCCGTTACTTTAAAGTAAAAAGTTTTTGTTCACTCACCGGCACTGATGCGCAACAGCGGAGTTGTTATCGAAGCTCGTTGTCTGTAACATACAAATATAAAATTCATTTATAACAATACTCAAAATCGATATTTAAAAAAAATATTATTATGCGGAATTTCATATCCGGTGTAAAATAATAAGCAGTTGTAAACATGTATGGAAAAATTTTAAATTCTGAATAAATTCTGAAACCATCTTTTAAATACATATATAGAAATTTTTATATAATTTTTATAAAAATCTTTCTAATTTTTCTTTAATTCATTTAAATAATAAAACCGTATTATTGTGTGTATGATTTTTAACAGTAGATATATAAATAATAAATATTCACCATCAGGTTGTTCCGCTGGTGCAGGATGCCTCTCCTAGGCCTGCTCCTCCTCTCAGATCATCAGGATTGTTGCATCATCAGGGTTCTCGCATCGATCTATAACAAACAAAAGAAGATTCTAATGTAGTAGCGTTCAAAATAATTAATATTTCAAAAATTATTGTATACATTGAATTTTGTATTTCGATGCATATAATAATAGTAGATTAATACAATAATTCTATAAATTTTAAAGAACATTACTAATAATTCTCTTATAACTTTATAAAAGCTTACACCTTTACAAGATTATAGCTTTCATTTAAAAATCTTTTTCTAATTCTCTCTTATTTAAATATAAATAAAAATATCAAATTAATTGTTACGATTAATTGTTTAATTGTTTAATTTAAATTATACTAAATATATTTAATATTTAATATATAATTACAAATAAATAAATTGCTTACCAGAAGGTTGCTTTGCCGGAGCCCGATGCCTCTCCTAGGCCTCCTCCTCCTCTCAGTTTTAGACGCGCGATACTTAACGACACTCCCGCACTCACGAGCGATATTTTTATATCGCTATTTTCGTTATTTTACGCGCGATACTGAACGGCATTCCCGCACTATTTCGATGCGATTGAAAATTGTATATTTGATCGCGCGATTATATTTGAAGCGCTTGCCGTCCGCGGCACGTTGACGGCACCGACGACGCGAAAGGGTACTTAGCTTCCTATTCAGGCACCTTAAGATTTATCATAAATTGAAAAATTTAAGATCAACCTCAAGGCACCATCCAAGTACTAAGCCCTCCCACCGCGACAAGGTGTACCCCATGGGAGGGTTATATTATATATAATTTTATATATAATATAATAAATAATTTGAAATTTATTTTATAATATAGTACATAAATTTAAATTCACATCTATTATATAAAGCAATGTTCAAAATAATCGATTTTAAATCTAATTATTGTGCGCAATTAATTTTTACATTTTTACTTTTAAATAGATACATTTTAATATTATAAATTGCATAATTACATAATTACAAAATAATTTATATTTCTTAGATATAAACTTTTAAAACAATTTCTATTTTTTTATATATAAAATATTTAAATAAATATTTTATACATTAATGTGAAATGTTTTATAAAATATAAGAAGTATCTGAAAATATTAATTAATAAAAATTTTATAAATGTTTTAATTATTTTAAAATAAAATGGAATATTTTTTATAAATATATGTATTATATATCTTACAATTTAAAATCACTTCTAAATCACAATCAAAGAAATAAAACGAAATGAGAAATATGTATATTTTAAATATATATACTATTGATAAATAATTTATATATTGTTGCGCTCGCGGAACGATATATATCGAATGCGCGCGACACAACCGATTGGCACACGATGACGCTCGCGCGTAAATAATAATGCGGTTTAAGGTACACAAGAATTTTAATAAATCACGAGTAATATATAACGCGCTACTGTTTACGTTGCCAAGGCCGAGCATGATATTAATAATTCGTAGTCGAAATATTTTACGTGCTATTGTATTTTATATCGATTGTATTTTATATCGATTGTATATTTTATATCGATTATGTATTCATAAAAATTAATTACTCGTTAATCATATTATTATATGAAATAATTATTCGATAATGATCGCCATCGCGTTTAGAAAATGAATTTAACAAAACGTCTGGCGCTATTACATTTTTGTTCGAGAGTCGCCGTGCGAATGATAATAGAATCGAGAGCCGGGATACAGTAGCGCGTTTTTGTTTACGTCGCCAAGGTTGTACACATTGTATTATTAATAATTCGTAGTCATGAAATATTTTACGTGCTATGATTGTATTTGATATCGATTGTATATTTTATATCGATTATATATTCATAAAAATTAATTACTCGTTAATCATATTATTATATGAAATAATTATTCGATAATGATCGCGATCGCGTTTAGAAAATAAATTTAACAAAACGTCTCGCTCTTACATTTTTGTTCGAGAGTCGCCGTGCGAATGATAATAGAATCGAGAGCTGAGATACAGTAGCGCGTTTTTGTTTACGTCGCCAAGGTTGAACACATTGTATTATTAATAATTCGTAGTCATGAAATATTTTACGTGCTATGATTGTATTTTATATTGTATATTATATTATATTTTATATCGATTATATTATTAATGCAAATTAATTATTCATTAATCACATATTATATAAATTTAATGAAGCTTCGATACCTGAATGTACTCCTTTTCTGTTGTTCATTCTTTTAGGGCAGTGATAAAATACTCACTCGCGAAAACGATATTTAATTATGTTCGGACATGTACTAGTCAACAATCAATCAGAATATGATAATCGCACGATGCTTTGAATGACACTCTCGACAAACATGAGACTGATACTTTATTCTATTATAACTTTATTGTAGTAAAAAAATATAAGTTGCACGAGATAGTTAGTGAGAAATCAAATATTAATTATTTATAACAATGTCTCATAATAATCATTTATAATAACCGTAAGAAATGATGGAAAGAATGCGATATATGCGAAGCGACTTCTGCCGCATCTCCTTCGAATTGTATCGTGCGAATGACAACAAAAATGTTCCCGTATAAACATTGTGTGTGAAGGCCGAACAGTTAATTTATTCGTTATCGATGAATATTTAACATAAAATAAATAGTATCGACAAGTGCCCATAAGCTTGTTACCCAAAATTTTCTCAACTAGAGATTGGACTTTATTCTTGGCTTAAAGTTTATGACACTTCGGAGAAAATAATTGAGAAAATAAGTATTTTTTTAAAAGGATAAAAATTGAAATTAAACCATAATTTAGTCCATCTAGAGATTCGCATATCCGTAATCTATGTGTCATAAACTTTATTTTAAAATTAAGCTGTCTCGAGTTGGCAAAATTTGGCACAACAATTGTTATGTTAAATATTATGTTAAATATTCTATTCTTTGAATTTCTAGAATTATTAATAAACGATATTGATGACGACATTTCAATACTTATAAATTATTTGATTTCACAATTCACATTTCATCTATGCGGATCGTTTTCATTCGGAAATGTTCGATAAACTTGATTTAAATCGATGATAAATTTAAATCGCGAGATATAATCGAATTCAAGTATCATTAAAATGATCAGCTATAAAGATCGCACAAGGAGAAGATAATTTATAATTCCTTTTATTTATCTCTTAAAATCTTGTTGGAATATATATGTTTATGTAAAATCACGCACTTCGTTCTTCGCGTTTTATTCAAGTCGAAGTAACCGTGAGGAATGATCGAAAAATAATGCGATATACGGAGCGGCTCTGTCCCCCCCACTCGAGTCTCATCGCGCGAGGGACGCAAAGGTAACCGTGTAAACATTGCCCTACGTCACATAGAATGAAGGCCACGTAATAGTAATTCGTCGTTGACGAAATATTTCATAAAATAACATAAAATAAATTTTGTTAAATATTCTATTTCTTGAAATTCTCAAATTAATTATTAATAAACATTATTAATGTATTGCGATATTTCATTACTTGTGAATTATTTGATTCCGCGCTTCATATTTTATCTGTGAGAATCATTTTTAATCTGAAAATGTTTGAGAATTGCATTTAAATCAACGACAAATTTAAAATATAAAATATAATAGAGTTCAAGTGTCGTTATAAAAATAATTATTGGCTCAAAGGAAAATTGCAAGAAAAAGTTAATTTATAATTTTTATCATGTATCTTTTAAAATTCGACTGAAAAAAATTGATGAAATTGATCGAATTATTGTTCGTTTATAACAAGTTAACAATTTATAACAATTAATATATAAATAATAATATTCACCATCAGGTTGTTCCGCTAGTGCAGGATGCCTCTCCTAGGCCTGCTCCTCCTTTCAGATCATCAGGGTTGTTGCATCGATCTATAACATATACAAAAGAAGATTCCAATGTAGCAGCGTTCAAAATAATTAATATTTCAAAAATTATTATATAAAATTATATAATTATTGAATTTTACATTCGATGCATATAATAATAGCAGATTAATAAAATAGTTCTATAAATTTTAAAAAACAATACTAATAATTCTCTTATAACTTTATAAAAGTTTACATCTTTATAAGATTATAGCTTTAATTTAAAAATCTTTTTCTTTAATTATCTCTTATTTAAATACAAATAAAAAAAATATAAATAAAGCATCAAATTAATTGTTGCGATTAATTGTTTAATTTAAATTATAACAAATATATTTAATATTTAATATATAATTACAAATAAATAAATTGCTTACCAGAAAGTTGCTCTGTCGGAGCCCGATGCCTCTACCAGGCCTCCTCCTCCTCCTCTCATGTTGTTGGCGCGCGATACTGAACGACACTCCCGCACTCGCAAGCGATATTTTTATATCGCTATTTTCGTTATTTTACGCGCGATACTGAACGGCACTCCCGCACTATTTCGATGCGATTAAAAATTTTATATTTGATCGCGCGATGTATATACTTAATATGTATGACAAACCGAGAATATTACAACGCGAAAATGCGACGCGTTGACGAAGCGCTTACCGTCCGCGGCACGTTGACGGCATCGACGACGCGAAAGGGTACTTAGCTTCCTATTCAGGCCCCTTAAGATTTATCATAAATTGAAAAATTTAAGATAAACCTCAAGGTCCATCCAAGTACTAAGCCCTCCCACCGCGACAAGGTGTACCCCATGGGAGGGTTATATTATATTATATATAATTTTATATATAATATAATATATAATTAATTTTGTAATATACTATATCAATTTTAATTCGCAAATATAAACGATAAATAAAAATATAAAAGATAAGAGAAAATCTATTATATAAAGACGCGTGTCCGCACAGCTTGACAGCTGAGCTCAGACTCTCTGAGAGTCGTTGTTTAACAACATCTTGACAATGCGCGCAGAAATGATCTTCCGTCGACAAACTTCCTGCCGAAAGAATTTAATAGGTGGCGAATACATCTAGGGGGATGGGACGAGGGGGACGTAACAATATAATAAATAATGAATATGATAAATAATTAAAATATTAATGACTTACTCGTATCTTATTGATCCATTCATTTCCAAGACCTTCTTTTTTTCTTTTGTTTCACTATTTCCTCGTAGCACTCCAATCCTCGTTACACTCATTTGAATTCCTCGTTGCACTTACACTCATTCACGAAAAGTTCCTCGTTGGACTTGCAATTGTGTTTAGAGAAAGAATTTGATAATATATGAAACGTCTCACATCACTACTTCACTGCTCAAGAGCCACTGAGCGAATGATCATAAGTCAGAAACATTTCCGCGGCACTGTTTATATCGCCAAGATTGACTATGTAAAGGAAGAATTTAATAATGTCTCACATCTCTCACGTCACTACTCAAAGTCACTGTGCGAATGATAATAAAGCCGTGTAACATATCAGCAATAGCGCGTTACTGTTTATCATGGTCGAACACGATGTTATTGATAATTCTCTCGTTACCGAAATATTTTCTGTAATATAAAATATTCGTGCTCGGAATATCGAATTATAGAAGTAATTTATTAATTAAGATTAATGGATTATTTATTAAACTATTCATCATGAAGTCTTTCGTTATACTAATTATTTGCATTTATAATTCAATTGTTTTATTTCGTATTCCTTCATAATCCAAATAATATTTAGATTATCAAGTAAAATGATAAAGTAACACGGATAAAATATCATATATTTGACTTTAAGTATTAAAATAATAATTACTGCCCATATAGATCGCAACAATCGAAATGATTATTTGATATTTAGGATCACTTAATCGATTCTCAATTAAATTGTATACATCATAAAATAGGCATTTTGAGATTTATCGTCGCGACGTAATTTTACGTATTATTTAATATACAGGGTGTCCGTCAATTTTCGATTATACTTAACGAAATAAAGAAGTAGATTGGCTCAAATTAAGAAGGAATGACCTGTATTGTTTTTGAAATGAAAAGATGAATCGGAATGCATTCGTTCGATTAATTCGTTAAATATATATACATATAAATATTTATTTTATATTCCAATTCATCTTTTCATTCGAATAGTGAATTAAATATTTATATATACCAAACGAAAAGATGAATCGAACGATTGCATTCGGCTTGCCATTTTATTCGCCGCGTTACAGTGAATATCGCGCGAGAGAGGCAGGCAACATGGGCGGCGTCGTGCACGATTTCGACTGTCCGAGCGCAGTCAAAAAACGGCCAATTTATATCTCGACTTCCGGACACGATAGCGATTTCATTCTTTTTGCATAAAATTCTACACCATTTCGCGGCACTACCGTTTAAATCTCGTCCCGATCGCTCGAGGAGCGGCTGACTTACAGTGAATATCCGAAATCTGCTTCTTGGTCTCACACTTAAGTGTAATATTTATATATATCGAATAAAAAAGCGAGTCGGAATGCAATCAGTTGAATAGTGAATTAAATATTTATATATACCAAACGAAAAGATTAATCGGAATGCATTCGTTCGATTAATTCGTTAAATATATATATATATATATATATATATATATATATATATATTTAAGGAATTAATCGAACGAATTAATTACTGTGAAATAAATTGCGAAATATAGCATGATAATATCTGCATGTCGCGATTGTGAAACGATTTATATAATTTTATATATTATTGTCTAATATTTTCTAACGCGCTATATTAATGTTATGTTGAAAATGTATTAAGAGATATGAAACGTTCGTGTTTATTGCATGGATTATGATAAGTAATTTAAGGAAATATACTAATAAGAAATATACTAATAAATATACTAAAAGAAAAAAAAAGTTTTTTTGTGTTTCAGTTACTGCGCTTTACTGCCTCTTACTTGCCAATTTTTTAATTAATTTTTTATTATTGTTATTATTGTTATTCGAACTAATTTATTATTGTTATTATTATTTGAGCTAATTTTTTTATTTTAATTTTAATATTTATATGATATATATTTATTTAATTTAATATTTATTTAATATATACATTTAATATATTTAATATTAGCATTTAATATTTAGAAATAAACTTGAATATTTTTTGTATTAAATTTTTTTAAATAATAAATCATGAAAAACTATTACGTAATAATGACAATGGCAATGATGATGGATGATGTATGATTAAAATATCGGGTATCATAATATATTAATAGCAGAGAGAGAGAGAGAGACCATACAAAATTTATTTATATTAGAAATTTATTTAATATACATAGCATTTTATCTTACAATACTCGTGTTATCGACATTTAATGCACACAGCACGGAACACAACCAGAAATAGTGCACATGTTACTCCTTGAGAATATTTATGAATTTGGCTTCGTAGTTCATGTCCAAGTTTTTATATCCATAGATGGCACATCGCTTTCAGGAATTATCTAACCTAAAAACGGACCAGTCTCTCATCTTTCTCTCTAGCACCTCTATGGTGTAAATTTGCACGTGTTTTGATAAACGTGATAATTATAATATTACTTTGTGTTGTTAGATTGCAGTGAAATAAAATGCAACACGACGATGTAAATAAAATTCTAAATCGAATCTTTTTTCTTGTATATATCTGTAACATTATATGATTATCATAAAAACATTTATCTTAATCTTGCAGGTTGTATGGAGTGTCATCAATAAGTCATTTTGTTCTTTTAAAGTAAAGTAAGTATATTTTAAATAAAATTTATATAATATAAAATTGTACGAAACTTAAAGTTGTCATAATTATAATATTTCTTTTACAGTTCAAAGACACAGAGGTTTTGCAGAAATGAGTACAATCTTACAGGTTTATGCAGTAGAGCTGCATGCCCTCTTGCAAACAGTCAGTATGCTACAATTAGAGAAGAAAAGGGTATTATTTATCTCTACATGAGGACAGCGGAGAGGTAAATTGTATATATTTAAATCTTTCATACTTATATTTATATAATATTGACATTCTTCTTGATAAGTCATATGAATTATTTGGTGACAAGAATTATAAATTATTGAAGTGCTATCAAAAGATTTATATTTTATTTCAACATGAATAGAACTGCAATACTGTTTACGCTTGTATATATATATATTTTTATATATGTAAATATTTTTTTTATTAGGATACATACACCTAAAAATAGCTGGGAAAAAGTTAAGCTATCTAGGAATTTTGAGAAGGCAATACAACAAATTAATGAGAATCTACTCTATTGGCCTGGTTTCATAAAGGCAAAATGTAAGCAAAGATTTCTCAAGATCACGCAATATATCATTCGTATGAGAAAATTCAGGTTAAGACGGCAGAAGAAGATTGTACCACTTCAGAGAAAGATTGAAAGGAGAGAAAGACGTAGGGAAGAAAAAGCTCTAATTGCTGCAAGACTAGAAAATGCAATCGAGAAGCAACTTATGGACAGACTGAAGAAGGGAGTGGTAACATTATATTTTATATTTATTGTTATAAGAAATTAATTATATTTCGGAAATATAATTTTTTTGGTCTTTTAGTACGAGGGTATTTACAATTTTCCACAACAAGTGTTTGATAAAGCAGTAGAATCTGTTGAAGTTGAAGGAGAAAGTGAAGCAGAAAATGAACAGGACGAAGAACAGGAGCGAGAGCTTGAAAAGGAGGTGGAAATGGAATTAGAAGCAGATGAGAGGGAACTCGAGCAAGATGGTCTGCAATATATTGAAGCTGATAGTGATGATGATGAAGAATTTTCTATGGTATATAATTTCTATATATGATTTCTATGGTATATAATAAAATGATTATTTATTTTAATATAAATAACTCTTTTACACATATTTTTTTGTGTAGGATGAAGATAGTGATTCTGGACAGAAAGAAGAAGTTGAATTATCGGACAGTTTTGAATCTGCAGCCAGTGATATTGAAGTAAGAACTTTCTATCTGAAAATAAGCTTTCTTTTGCTATATCTCGATATAAATTGTTTATATCTCACTAGGATTTATTCCAACCATCTACAAGCAAGAAAACAAAAGAGCCGAAGGTTGTGAAAAAAGGAAAGGTACAGAAAAAATCGCGACCAAGAGTAGAAATCGAGTACGAAATAGAAGAAAACAATCAACAAAAAAACCGAGCATAGCACAATTGTGTAAATATCATAATTATGTCTTTATAATAAAATTATCCAAACATTTATATCTATAATATTTTAATGGAACAATGTAATAATTACTGTTATGATACGCAAATCCAGATACTTGGATCATCAGGATTTTGACGAAAGTCAATTTTCTTGCGCGTATACTTAAATAATATTAGAAAGAGAGGAATATTGTAATATATTTACATATATATATTTGTACGCTCGCGCGTGTCTGTTATGTGCCATATGTGCGTTCAAAAATTCCGCTCGTAATGCGAGCGTACGAAAGCGCCAAACGGAAGAAGCTGGAAAACTGACGTAATCCCAGATGGTACATACATGCGTATCTCGGAGAAGAATCGAGACATTTGTGTAGCAGACGATACGATTAATCGTGACGTGAGAAACAAAAGGGTAAATTGCGCGCGGTCGTTTATCGCGGCCAATCATCCGAAACGAGGATCGCTGTCGTTCCTCGCGAACTTGTGCCCGTCACAGTTATCGTTCCTAATCGAAATTGCGATCGTGATTCATTAGCGGGGCGTTAGTCTGCAGTGTCTCGACATTGCGCATCCGTCAAGATTGTCACGCTCGTTGACATTTCGCTTTCCGCCGTTCACCGATATCGGCCCTTTATCGGATAAAAAAGGAAAACGCGAAAGTTAAAAACATGGTGCATCGTTCGCAGTAAAATGTGGAACCGCGGACTTTTCATCCGTCGATTTCATCCCTTCGCTTGCTATTTATGGAGCAAGTAGGTTATTTGAAAAACATTCCATCACAAGAATGAAAATAATATCAGAATGTCGTATCAATGAAAAATATGGAATTAACGTCTCGTATCAATATATGTGTGTGTGCTATTATTAATATGTTAGTATATATATATGTATATTTTATATATATATATATATATATATATATATATATATGTATATATGACGCGCGTGTTATATGTAACGTAATCAAATTCTGCGAATTTTTGATGAGATGTTGGAAAATGATGCATACTCTCGGCGCGTATCTAATGAGAAAAGTGTATGATTTGCCTTGATTTTCGCATCTTTAAATCCCACGTTCTTATTAAGCAATTAAGGTGATAAGGTAGAGGCGGGGTACATAGTCATCAATTCACTCAATGCATTCATTGAACGGATTTATGTTTAATAAGTTCCACAATGCTCTTCCGTTTTTGTTTTTCTATAGAACATATCGTTTCCTTCGCAATTAGATCTCGCATTTTCGCGAATACAAAGTGTTAAATTTTTCGGAAACGAGCTCCTTAATCATACATAATATCATTAATGAGATGAAATCTGATAAACTGTGGAATGAAGCAATTTGTGATTTCTTTTCGTAGGATTATTATGGACGTAAAGTAATATCAAGGATGGAATAAGTTGAAAGCTGGAGAGCATCATGTATCTACGCCGCACAATTGTCTAACTGGGCTTGGCTCTGAGTTACATGTCGTTTCTTTGCGCACAAATGCCAAGATGTTAGACAACACTGCTAATATGGAACTGAATAATGTGGGAAGCAACAGAAGTTCTATATATCTGGCACTATCATTTCGAAAATTATGTCTGGTAACAGTTGGCTTACCACTTGTATCATTGTTGTTTTGTTTCGTTACGGCATATATATTCCAACAGGATGACATTCACGAAACTCATTGTAGGGTAAGTGCAAAATTTTGTATCACATATGATAATAAATAAACAATATGTGTTGATTAAATTATATTTATTTTTTTATTAAAGGTCTATAATATTCTTCCATCAATCTCAGCCATTACTGGAGTATCTCCTCAGAGGTATCTATGGCGTATCAGCATAGCATTACACATTGGACCTAGACTGATTATTGCCAGTGTTTATCATTCATATTATTATAACATACTTAAGAACATTGAAGATGTGCCTCTAAAAATTATGGGAAGTAGGCTCCTAAATTTATGCTATTGGCTAAATATTGCCGAGGTAGCAGCTTTGTGTGGTGTAACATACATTTCTAACAGGGAAAATTATTGTAAGTAATTTATATAAAATTTCATATATCTACGTGTGCTACTAATACAATCAAAATATTAAACATAATAGACTTGCTTAACTAAAATAAGATAAAAATATTACAGCGGTACACGAAAAAATTTTCATAGTGTTCATGATTAGTTCGCTCACATACATGCTGATTGCCGTAAGATTGGGTCGCCTAGTAACTCCAAATGCACAAAGCCTTCAGTACAAACAGATGCTTTTTATGACAAGTCTCGTCAGTACAATTGGTCTTATTATCTTCTTCTTGAAACATCGGCTGCTGTGTCACGATTTGGGTAAGAAATAAAATCATAAATATTACATTTATATTAGTTTAACAAAAGTAGAAAAAATAAAAACAACTTAATATTTATTATTTTGGGCAGCATTTAGTTGGTTCTCGCTATGTGAGTATGTGATAGCTTTTGCAAATATGGGATTTCACATCACTGTTGTTTTGGATTTTCCAAAAGATCAACTGGTCGTAGGTCACGATTTACCTGCCGCGAAAATAGATTAACCTTTTAAGATAATTCGTCATTCTCATTGTCATATTAAAGTGCCTATTGCCTCTGCATGGAAGTGCTATAAATCATGGTTCTCAAGAGGTAAACATTTGGCACAATTCACAATACATAGAATCATGATTATCTCAGTTTTATGATATTTTATAAAATTACAATGTGTTCTATTGTTGAGATTAATGTAATTTGCTTCTCATGATCTTTAAAAAAGCAAAATACTTTACACATATGTAAGACAATATAAATGTAGAAATAAATATACAATATAATACATATATATATATATATATATATATATATATATATATATGCATTATATTGTATATTTATTTTTACATTTATATTGTCCTACAAAATTGATTATAATATTCAATTTTAGTACTTTTATGAACGTAAGGAGATATCTAATTTGTGAAAAAAAATGAAATAGAAAATCTAGCGCTTCCAAAGTGTGGCACTGGTTACTTTTAAAACGATAAATATGTAACGGCCTTTTAATATCAGTTAGCAATATAGTACATTAACAGTAAACATTAGTTTAAAAAGTATCCTACATACAAACAACATTTAATGTTAGTGTAAATTGTATATTTTTACCGCATCGTATAAGGTTACTTTAAAAATTTACTTTTGAATCTTTTTTATAGACTTTTACAAGGTGAGATTTCTAGTCAAACATTAATTCTAGTCGCGATACATTTCATTCGCTTTACGCTATTCTTATTTATCATGTCATAAGTTGAGATTGTATAATGCAAAGTTATATGAAATGGATTTGAGATCTAATTATGATTATATATGTATAGAATTTTGTGAATTATTTCAAAGATGTACAATTGTATCTTGTTGGCAAACACGATAGAAATTTTACATTTATTCACCTTGTAAGAGATTAATCTTGTATAGATGTTGAGTAGTAAAATCAGCTAATATTCAGGAGCTATTCTGTTTAGTATTATTGTACTGCAAACGTAGGATAATCACTCCTATGTTTGTATGTAGTATACGATAGTCCCGATAGTATAGCAATTATCCAGACACTAATAATTAAAGCAGTCGCAATTGTATTAAAGTATTTAAACGGGGATTACATTTGGACCAGCTTTTTCAAGAGATATGATCTAAATTTCTCACGCAAAGTTTATAAGATAAATGTTAAAAACAAAAGTTTCTATGAAATTTTATGATTAAAACCCCCGTACATTTTTTGTTTAAATAAATGTATACGGTTTTTGAACAAAATTTAAAATTTAAGCTTTAACAATTTTTAATCGTTGGAAATGATTTATGAATATTGTTGAATAGCTTGATTAAATATTGAATCTTTGATGATTTGTTATTTCAAAATCCATTATCATTTTGAATAACGGATATTTGAAATAAATTTTATCAAGTAATTTTCGACAAAACAAGACATCTAGCAAGACATTACAAAGAAACTCGAGTAAAATTTGTTATTCAAAAGTATTATTAGAAATTATGTAGAGTAGAACTTTCATAAAGTAATTTCCGGAAATCTTGTCTATGTCCCTCAGTCAAAAAAATTGCACTAAATGTCGAAGTAAAATTTCATATATGTGAGAATAGGATCGCGGAATTTAAAAAGAGAACAGCCAAGTCTATAATATTGAAAGAATTTGCGCGAAATATCTCTTGATATTTGTACTCATAAGCAAAGTAGTGTTTATTACATGTGTATTTATAATAAGCAAATTATACATTATGATATCTTTTAGAATTTCGTTATAAAGGCCGAGTAGTTTCAATGTGACTCTAGATAGCACTCGCAATTTAATGGTTTCATCATCATCATCATTTTTGCACATTTTTACACACGAACGTTATAGCATATTTTGATATGATAAATTTTCGTTGAGATTCCTCTTATATAATTGATAAAAGGAAAAATGGAAAAATGAACACTATTCTTCGCTAGATACACGATATATTTATCATAAATAATCACGTGGAGATGAGCTTTAAATAGTCTTGTAATTATTACAATGGAGTAGCGCTTTTTCTTGTTTTTCTGCATACATGAATACGAATGTGAATACGATGTTTAATCACCCGAGCGTAACATCTTGACGGTTCCTATTATACGTGAAATTTTATATCATTATCACGATATAAAAATGAGTACATTCATAATCTTATTTGACATATTGATACCGTTATCGGATGCTAATCTGTGCCAAGTGATGCACTAAAGATATATCGTCGAATTTTACGAAAGCGTTGCGCACATAAATAATCTTCCAAGTTCTTTAATGAATCACTTGTATTTTACGTTTCGTTGAGCAATCACTTACGATCACTGCTCTTTACAAATACTTGCAACAATAATTGAGAATCTTTTCTACATTATATCTTTTATTCCGGTAAAGAAATAAGAATCGCGGAATCGATCAATATGGATTGGATTGATTAAAGTGGAACATATTCATCCTAATAGATCGCAGCTTACGTTAACATTCTCGGAGTATATACGTATATATGTACATGTGAGTATATATATGTATACACACACACACACACACACACACACACACACACACCAGAGATCGCCAAGCAAATTTTTAAAATTAATTTTCACTTCTGAATTATCTAATTAAAGTTGCGATGTGAGCCATTTATTTTTGAAACTTTATGTTCTCAAATAATTCTATAATTAGGCACTAACTTTTGCACAAGAAATTCTCTTTGAATTTTTAAGATAATTGAAAAAATATGTGATTTCTGATGTATCTTTTAATGCATATGTTGGTTAATGGGTACCGAATACGCGAGTCAGAAGTTATATTGAAAATGTCTCATATATATCCATCTAAGTAGAAATTAATAGCATATAAAAAGTCTGTTTTATAGAAATATAGCGTTAGCTTGCAGAAATAAGTTCTATATATAATAATATTAAACGAAGAATTTTGGTAATCAAGTTTATCTTGTGCTAATCTTTTTTGTTTGTGTATAAGTCACGTATTAATAAAAGATGAAAAGGCTACAATCCCACCGATGTTAATTTTGCAAGCATTGAAATTGCAAAATAATGCTTCCAAAGAGAGCTGTGTGCTAAACATTTATTTAGCAACAATGATTTTTTGTGATTACGCTCGATAAATTGCACATGCGGCAATTTATCTATATTCATAAATTTATTGTTAAGATATCAGCATACTCAGAATGATTTGAAAAACCTAACGAGGAACAAATTTAAGCGTTAAAAGGTGTGAAGCATATTATTTGTACTGTGTTATCTTTTTTCTGAAAATATATTTTTATTCTTTATACACATGATAGAATCTTCTTAGGATGAAAGTTCTGAAAACACATATGTAAAAATTTCGTCATATGAATTTTTACACATTGGCGATAATGACTAAACATATCTATCAAGAATTTCTATCATATTCGAAGCTCTCTGTCTCTATCTCTGTCTCTCTCTCTCTCTCTCCCTCTTCCTCTCTCTCCCTCTTCCTTTCTCTCTCCCTCTTCCTTTCTCTCCCTCCCTCTGTCTCTTCCCTTTCTCTTTCTCTCTCTCTCCTTTTGCTGTAAATAATGCTAGCATGATGTACAATTATATCTTGTATAAATGATGGATAGGATATCAACAGTACGTTAAACAAATGGCATGACAACTTTTCGTTCATTAGTATGGCAATTTAAATACAGATTTAAAGCAAAAAATGTTTACATAAATATTCACTATCGAGTCGCATCTATTTTTCTGCGACCCGTATTTTTCGAAATCATTTTGCTACTGAAACATTTTTTCTAATTTACATGATATATATACAGGGTTACCAAAAGTGTGGAAACCCCTAAATATCTCGGAAAATATACGTTACAGAAAAGTTTCCAACAAAAGTTGTAGGGTTTAAGAAATCTATATACTGATTCTATCAGTTTGACCTTGGATGGCGTCGTCAGGTCAGGTCAAGGTCACATTACTTTTTTAAATGACACCCCCTACATTTGATTGCATATTCTTATAGCTTAATTCAAGAGCTTTCCAAAACACTATAATAATGTTCATTTTTATTAAGTACTTTGCGAGTTATGAGGGTTGAATAATTTCTTAATTTACATAAACCATAAATATCTAGTAAACCATTCATTTTTCGATTATCTTACCTTCATACTTTTATGTACAAAATAATGAAAGGAATCAATTGGTGTAAAGAAAACATACAGTTTTTTAAGAAAAAATAGGAATTTAATTGCAAATTACATATTTTTTCTTAGAAACAACTATGTGTTTTCTTTACACCATTGATTCCTCTCATTAATTGTACATAAAAGTATGAAGGTAAGATAATCGAAAAATAATGGTTTACTAGATATTTTATGGTTTATGTAAAATTAAGAAATTATTTCAACCCTCATAACTCGAAAGTACTTAATAAAAATGAACATTATTATAGTGTTTTGGAAAGCTCTGAATTAAGCTATAAGAATATGCAATCAAATGTAGGGGTGTCATTTAAAAAGTCAATGTGACTTGACCTGACCTTGACGACGCCATCCAAGGTAAACTGATAGAATCAGTATATAGATCTTCTTAAACCCTACAACTTTTGTTGGAAACACTTTTCTGTAAAACGTATATTTTCCGAGATATTTAGGGGTTTCCAACTTTTGGTAGACCCTGTATATATATATATATATTATATATATATATATTATATATATCGAAATTATGTCAAAGTGCTACGATCTCACTGGAAAAATTAGTCGATGTATTATTTTGGGTAATTGACAATTCTGTGATAATAAGCGAAAACAACTTTGCTATATTCCACTTTACACTCACATGCAAGTTTTATTTCTTCTTAAAATAATATTTTCATATATGTATGTTTATGTGTCACTTTTATTCAAGTTTAATAATACATTTATAGTTTTATGATTGGCCAAAGTCATTCCATTTTTCAAGGAATAATTATGATTGACCAGTTTTAGAACTACTGGATGTTATTAAACTAGTTATTAACCCGATTAGGAATGATGTGTGATGTTGCTATCGCCTTATTTTTCTCTTCAGATTATTCAAAATATATTGTATTTTATTTATATTTTATGCATGCCAACAATTTTGATTGTATATTATCACAGAATTCATTTTCCCGAAGTATCTACTCTCATATTTAACGACGAATCGAGTAGTGAATTTGTATCTTTACGTATTATAACTTATATTATTGAAGTAGACGATTAACTAATCAAATGCAGTAAATAT